AGCAGCCTGCCTCCAGGCGTATCAGATGAGTACCGGACGCTGATCCAGCGGGCCTTTGTGCCATCTGTCGCTGTCCTTGCGGATGCGCAGACAGAGGACTTGATACAGTCAAAGGGGCTGGAGGGGGGCCTGTTGCAGTTACTCCGACCATTCGGAGAGTCGGTACCCGGCAAGGTAACCATAAGAGATAGTAACGGGGCAAGCAAGAGCTGGGAGGACTTTGGTGTGCGCTTCATTGGCGTCGACGATGCATATCCAGACCTGCGTGTTGGGACCGGCGGGCAGAGAACACCATCAGGCCCCGCACCGCGAGTGAGGCGCTCAGGGGGTGATGTCTCACAGATTGAAGAGCTGGTAGATCGCCATCTGCAATACTCTGAATTCAACAGGCAAGATGCTGTCTCCGACTTCATGAACCAGGGCGAGGCGTCAGGACCACCCATAGATAGTACCTCATCCCCTTTCTACACACTCTACCTACGGCGGTTATTATCAGGGCTGCCAGTCGTGCCGCATGAGACCTTTTCGCATCCCGTTGCTGGTATAATAGCAATCAGCTCGCGCAACCCACATCCGATAGAAGAGCTACGGAGACTGTACAACCGGCAGCACGATGGGGACCTCCGCTTTCCGCAATGGGTGGAAAACGACTTTTTACGCTACTACGTTCTAATACACGACGAGGAAACTGGAGACATTGCAAAGTCGAACCAGACTTTCGATTCGATGAAGCGACATTTTGGATTACATTGCCATTTACTGCGACTCAAGAGTCAGCAATGCATAGCGTCGGACGACGATAGTGTACGCTTGCCGACTTGCGAGTGGATGTCTGCTTCGGAAGAACTGGCTGAGATTCAACGAAGAGGTAAGTACGAGATGGTTGCTCACAGCCAGTTGTAACCATGTAGCTGATAGTTCGCTGCAGAAACCACAGACGACATTACAGACCCAACCCCTTATTTCCAGGAGTCTGATATCAGCAGTCTGCGCACGTTCATCCGTGAACTAGTTACACAGTCAATAATACCCAACATGGAGCGCAGCGTCGCCACGTGGAACGAGCAAATCCTCTCCCGACGCCGCGGTCTCTCAGGCCGCTTCATGTCTCTCTCCAAACGCTGGACCCCCTTTGGCGGTTCCCGCACCAGCGGCTCCTCATCCACCGCATCCAGTAACTCAAACTACGACAGTCTGCAAGGCTTCTACCGCCCAGACGCTCCCGAAGCCATCATGCGGCGCCTCGCAGACTACTGCTTCATGCTGCGCGACTGGAAGCTCGCACTCAGCACCTACGACATCCTCCGCACCGACTTCCAAAACGACAAAGCATGGCGCCACTACGCGGGCGCCGCCGAAATGGCCGCCCTATCCGCCCTCATGTCGCCTACCCCCCTCTCCGCTAAATCGCGCGCTGAAAACATCGACGCCTGGATCGAAGCAGCGTCCTACTCGTACACTGACCGCCAGCGCAGCGCAGCGCCCTACTACGCTCTCCGCACCTTGGCCCTCTCCTTCGAACTCCTCCGCCTCCGCGGCCCAGCCGCCGCAGACGACGCCGCCCGCTGGGCAACCCGCATCTTGGAAACAGGCCTCGTCGGCCCCGTCGGCCACGCACTCGTCACAGAGCGTATATCTGCCTGCCACGCCATCCGCACCGGAATCGGCGCCTACAAACTGGGCTCGCGCCGCAGGAAAGCAGCACTCTGGTCCGTTCTCGCAGCCGAAAATTGGTATCGCCTCGAGAAATCGCAGCAGGCAGAAAGAGCCCTCGATACGGCACTCAGACTGTACAATACCACGGCAGAGAATGCAGAGGGCGCGGCAACGGCGCTGCCGTATGGAGATATGCAGCGCTTTGTGGATGAGCTGCGCCAGCAGATTATGGGCTTGAGGCTTACGAATAAGGGGTTTGGCGGGCAGCTGGGTGATGACGAGGATGACGAGGCGAGGCGTGGCATGCAGAGTCCCGAGGTGGAAGAGGTGGCGGAGACGCTGGATGCGAGTCCGAGGTTGCATAGGAAGAGTCTGATCGGGCAAAAGGCGCCGCCGCCGATTGATCTGGGGCCATCGCTGGAGAGGTCGCAGAGCGAGGTGGATGCTAAGGGGGAGGGGTTTGAGTAGATGTGGAGAGAAATGAGAGAGAGAGAGAGAGAGAGAGAGAGAAAGAGATAGGGAGGAAGAGACGATAGATACGTGGTAATGGTTACGAATTTTTTTCTCAATGACAAGCCACGCAACACCAGCATTGTACACGTCACACACATACATACATACACACGTGGTTGGACAGGCAACATGTAAACATGGTTTTATCGAAGCCGTCTCTCATTAGTCTAAGAGATGCATGCTCTATACATCATTCATTCATTTCGTTCAGCTCAAAAAGAGAGAGAGAAAGTTAAAAAAGACATTTCCTTTCAAACGCCAAAGCCGGTGAAGAGACTGCAGGCCCAAGCACTTTGGCACCCCGTCAGTCCGTCATACCGGCATATGCAACAATGGATAACACAGACAGCCATGCCGATGCTCGTATGCTATGCAAAGAACGCGAGATCCAAGGGAGGATGAGAAGAAGAAGAAGAAGAAGAGAAGGAAAAAAATGCAAGTCAGAAAAGAATAACGCGCCCACCGTATGCTGTTAGGGTATCATTGTCTCGTCGTCATCATCAGCAATCATAAGTCAACCACCTCTTTCTCTCTCTCGCTCTCTTCACACGATAAAGTCATAACAGGGAGTGAGGGGCTTGGACACTGCAGGAGTCTTGAGTGGTGATGCTTCTGCGGGCACGGGCCTGGTGTCTGTGTGTAGTATCGTTTTAGGGGCAGGGGTTGGTTCCCGAGATGAGTCCGTCGAGGAGGCATCGCAGGTGCGGAGTCCACGAAGTTTGATGGTGAGCTTCACTGGCCTTGGCGGCTCGGGTGGAGGAGTCTGCAAGGTCGACTGTTGCGAGGCTACAAACCCATGTGATTCATCCGACGAGCTGTCGGTGCCTTCTGGCGTTGAATCAGAGTCGAATAGAGGCAAGGGGGAGCGACGCTTTCGTGAGCGCTGGCGTTGGTCGTCATCGTCACCATCGACACTGGGACTTGGACGCTTTTTGGACATGGCCTTTGGCACTACGTTGACATTTGGGATGCCAGTGTGGGGACCGGCGATATTACGGACAGAGGAATAGTGTTCCCAAGTCTACGGATACTACGTCAGTACAAGATGAGCGGGGTAGCAAGAGACTACAACATACATGGTAGGCAATGTGGAGGGTCTGGCGTTTGTCGTCGGCAGCGGGATCAGCATTGGATGCAGAGGTCATGCGTGGAGAGAAGAGGTAGGTGTAGTCAGCCTGCCACAGGCGGACATTGACATTAAGAGCAGAGGCAAAGGCTGAGACTTCCATGTTGTCTGCCCACTCGCCAGGCTGGCCCATCTTCTCTACATGATGCTCAAACTGCTGCTGCAGCTGTTCCTCGGTGTAGTAGGTGGTGTCGAGACGCTTGGTGGCGGCATTGGCAGCGGCCGTCTTGCGTTTGGGATTTCTCCGAACAGTATTGACGGCCATGTACTGGCGGTAGAAGTCTGAACAGTCCCTCATGTGCTCTATGGTGGTGGCGCGCAGGACCTCGTGCATGTCTTGGTGGCCGTAGAGCTGGTCGGACAGGGCGTTGAACAGGCAGTTGCCTTGGGGGGAATAGTCAGTGGTGGTCAAGCGAGAATAGTCAGAGAGCATGCTCACCATCGCCACGGATGCTGCTAGCATACAGGGCATTTGCATCGAGGATGGGGAATTCAGGCGAGTTGGCCCGGTGTCGTCGGGTAGCCATGGTGGTGGGAGCAGCAAGGATGTTTTGGGGCCAGGAGAAGTCGGTGTATTTGGGGCGGAAGGCACAGGTGGGGTGAGGCGGTCATGGATGAAAGGAGAGCTCTGGTGGAAGCGGCAAGAGCAGTGGTTGCAGGGCAGAGGAGCTGGGCCGGCCACGCCACGATGGAGGGTGAAGGTCGTGGCCGGTGAAGGGCAAGGGGAGGCAGGCGAGGAATAATATCTTGTGTGACGCGCGCGAACTTGTGAAGCTCTGGTAGTAAAGGGACACGGGCAAGCAGGGATGGCTCCGCTTGGCAAGTCTCAGGAACAACGACAGCAGGCCTGACTCGGGGCGGGCTCGCGCGAACAGAGACTGAACAATGCCCGGCCAGGCACAGGGACGACAATCGGGCGGCGGCCAACCAGACAAAGACCAGGAGTGTTGTGTTGTATCGCAAGTATGTGTATGCAATGCTGTGGCAGAGGGCCGGTGCAGCTAAATGTACTACTCAGGCCTGCGCGGTGCTGGCACGGAAAAATCTTCGGGCCTGCATATACGTCTGTCTTGTCTAGTACATATACATGCTAAGTACTGCTACTTTAACAACTACCTCGGACTCGGGCAATGATGTCAGGCACCGCAGAGCTGTGCCCCCCTCCCCTAAGCTAGCCGCTGTGCTGGGGCTGGGGCTGGCCCGACTGGTTTTCGTCGCCTGCAGTGGGCGGTGAAGGCAGGCAGCGCAAAAGCAGAGCACGTCAATTGCTGGTGAAGACGGTGTTTGGGTGAAGAGGAACAAGCCAGAATAGGTGGATGAAAGATTGACAAACGAGCGAGGGAGAGATTGATATTCCCGCCGCCCATCTCATCTGTCCCCCCCCCCAGCACATGTGTACACTACACTACACTACACTACACTACATACACTGCATACACAAACAAAGACCTCTCCCTCTCATGTGCCCACGCGTTTTGTCTCGTGCCCGTGTGCCGGCGGAACCAATAAGCGAGCTGGCAAAAAAAACCACGGCCAGATGACCCCGCCAACCCGCTCCACCACCCAAAGTCCCCACTCCCTGCTGGCCTCTACCACTGCCTGCTACTCTCGCCCGTGGAGCCATGTGATGCCACACAAAATCACAAGTGCGTCAAGCCCACCCATTCCTTTCCTCCCTTGAATAAATAGCTAAGCCAGAGCTACCATGTCCACCAAGAATGTCGTCGTTGCGGGGTAAGCAGTTGCCCACCTCACCACACCCGTTTTTTTCATCGGTCCTGCAGCCATGGCAATAATATAATCAACACAAACACGTCCAATTTTCATGTGCCGATCCGCCTCCCCCATGTGCCGAAGCTGCAGGGCCAGCTGCCCGTTGCGGTAGTCCAATGTACTTTAATGTATCTAGCATGCTGACACTACTACTACCACCCAGCGCAGGAGTCATCGGGCTCTCGGCCGCCCTCGTGCTGTCCAGGCACAAGAACCTGAGCATCACCGTCGTCGCCAAGCACATGCCCGGCGACTATGACATAGAATACGCTTCCCCCTGGGCTGGAGCTAACTACTTTCCTGTCGGCAAGCCGGGCTCCATTCTGCAAAAGTTTGAGAGGGCTACCTGGCCGGAGCTCGAGCGGCTATGTCGCCAAGTCCCAGAGGCTGGCATCCACTTCCAGAACACGCGGGTGTATGGAAGGAAGAAGGATGCTGGCACGGCTACTGGCCAGTGGTTTGAGGAGCTGACAAAGGAAGATGCTTGGTTCAAGGATGTGGTCCCTAACGTATGTTGCTATCCCACTGTTACTTCATCGATGTGACCTATATTCACATGCCCTTAGTTCCGTGTCTTGCCCAAAAGCGAACTCCCAGAAGACTGTGATACTGGCACCGAGTTCTCATCTGTCTGCATCAACACGGCCGTCTACCTGCCCTGGATCCTCGGCCAATGTGTGAAAGCCGGCGTCATCATCAAACGTGGCATCCTCTCCCACATCTCTGAAGCTGCCAGCTTCCACCCTTCTGGCCATGCCGATGTGATTGTAAACTGCACTGGTCTTCTCGCCTCCAAGCTCGGTGGAGTCATGGACTCGAACGTGTACCCGGGACGCGGCCAGATTGTGCTCGTTAGGAACGAGCCAGGCGTCATGCTGACCGTCAGTGGCACTGATGATGGCAGCGAAGAAGCCACCTACATCATGCAGCGAGCTGTTGGTGGAGGCACCATTCTCGGTGGCTGTTTGCAGCATGGCTCGTGGGAGAGCCAGCCTGATCCTAACCTTGCACAGCGTATCATGCAGCGCTCCATTGACTTGTGTCCTGCACTCGCACCAAAGACTGGAAAGGTAACTGAACTTGACATTGTTAGGCATGGTGTCGGTCTACGGCCCATGCGGACTGGCGGACCTAGGGTTGAGAAGGAGGTGATTGATGGCAAGTGGGTCGTGCATAGTTATGGCCATGCGGGTTACGGCTACCAGAGTGGTTGGGGAAGTGCATGGGAAGCGGAGCAGTTAGTATTGTCTATTGTGCAAGACGACAAGACCAAGGCCAAACTTTAGAGTAGACAGTAAACAATACATTCTACTAACTAGGCATGGCCGAAAATGATTTTCCCTCGACACATCTATCACTATGATTGTGTCTGTTCATGTCGCTTCCTCCCCCGCCACCACCGCCGCTCTAATCCCATCCACAGCAGGCTTCAAGCTCTTGGACGGCAAACTCCAATCATGCCTCTTGAGACCCTCCTCCCCCGTCAAAAACCACAACGTCTCCGCCGCCGTAACACGAATCTAAACCTTTCATATTAGCATCTCTCTCTCTCTCTCCTTCACTACAAACACCCCAAGAAGTAACGTCAACTTACCTTGGGAAACGGATGCAACAGCATACTCGCCACCTTCCTCAGCGTCTCCTCGCGCGTCACAGCCACACTACCCAGTCCCCTGTACATATCCAGTGCGAGATGCAACTTGTGCACGTGCGAGGATTTGAAGTGAGATTTTTGCGTATACGACAATAAGGTGCGGAACCTATTTTCCCGCAGCCCCAATATTAGTTAGCAAATGGAAAAAAAATGTTTGAAATGAAGAGATGAAAGGGGGGGAAGGTTGTAACGTACGGGAAAGACGTAGTAGTTAGGCGCTGTAAGACGTGCATGTCGAATAAGAAAGCTAGGACTTCAAGGAGGGGAAGCAAAATACGTTCGTTGTCGAGGTGGGATTTTAGGAGGGTGAGGAATGTGGTTGAGAGGTCGAGGAGGGAGTACTCTTCACTTGCTCCATTGCCGGTTTCAGAGGAGGATGAGGGGGAGGAAGTAGGAAGTGTATCAACGAAATCCAACAACGCCAAGCGCGAGTTCTGGACTACGGATTCCGAGCCCATACCTGCTGAGCTGACGAAGCCGGTGCAAATGGCTTCTTTGATGACGGCGTCGATGGGGGATTGCAAGGGAGCGAGGGCGGAGAGGAAAAAGGATTTCGAAGACACGCCTGCGTCGAGGGCGCTGGGGTCGAGGGCGTGGTGTAGGACTTGACTTGCTTTGACTCGCATTTTATCGAGTTTCTCGAGGGACAAGCGGAGCACGTCGGCGTAGATTTCGCGGCCGCAAGGGTCATGGGTTGGGGTTAGGAGACTGGATGTCCAAGCTAGATGGACGGTGTTTAGGGCTTCGAGGCGGACTAGGGCCCCGACGTCGCCGCGTTCAGTGATGGTGTAGTCGTTGAGTGCAATGTGCAGGGCGCGGCCGACTTGTGTTTCTGCGTCTGGGGCGAGATGGTAGGATGATGAGGATTTACTGGCGAGGAGGTCACCTAGAGCGCGTAAGGCGACGGTGCGGGCTTCGATGGCTACGGCGGCGGTGCAGCGGAATGTGAGAACCTTGACGATGCGGTGCTGGATTTCTTCTCTTTTCGTGTCAGCTGGGAGGCTGCTCAGGTTGGCGTATGCGGCTCCGAGTGCGACTGCGTGGCCTGAGCATCTGAGTCCGTTGTATGAGGCTTCGTTCTCTAGTCTAGTCAACCATGAAGATACGACCTCGATGGTATCGACTTTGGGTGTCTTGGAGAGGAGGAGAATGACTGCTGGTGCAGTCACGGCAATTCCGTCCAAGACTGGCTGTTCATGTCGAGTGAGGCACAGGTCAAAGAGGCGACAGACCTCGTCTGTGGGTATCTCGGATGGCTTGATATTACTGGAACAATCAGTCGTAAACGTAGCCATTGCTGCAATGAATGCACATATCGAGGATGCTGTGAACTGTGGTCGCAGCGCCGGCGAGATAAACGCCTTGTCTTCAAGCTTCAAGTCGCTCGATAACAGTGTCCAAAGATTCGAGAGAGACGCATACAAAGCCCCATCTCCACTGTTGCCGATTGAGGTTCTTGCAGTGTCTACAAGAGCTGCAAGTGCAGACACTAGTCCCTGCCGCTCCTCTACTTGTCTGGGGCGCAAGGCTGAAAGCGTATTGCGCACCTGTCTCAACATTCTTTGTACCACAGCTAGGGAGCGTCCCTTGGACAAAGATCCTACGGCTTCTGCTGCAAATAAACGCGATTCAGAGTCCAAAGACCCCGTTCCTCGCCATTCAAGGAGGCCTTCGAATAGCGCCTCCCAGTATAGCGAACTCAAGTTTCCTGCCTTGATTGCCACATCACACATTGCTCGTTGACGGAGGCCGACAGCATGGAAATCCACCATTTGCACCAGCGGTATGCCTTCCTCAATCGTATTCGGGTGTCGACCAATCAGTTCCTGTAGAGCAGCGGATGATCCTCTTCTGATGTTACCTGCTGGGTCGAGACAAGCAGCGACTACCAGTTCAATTGCAAGGACCTGAGGTACATTCAGTGCTTTGAGATGCTCCGACGCGCGTATCGACGCTGTGTCCACGACAAGGAGATCTGCAGTAGCATAGCGTCTCGAGAGTGCCCAGATGCCAAAGCAAGCTGCATCGCGAACGTTTGTACCAATGGATCCTCCAGTGGGTGATCGTTGCTCGAATCCAAGAGAGAGTAGAAGAGCGTTCAGGACGTCAGGTAAGTGGTTTGTTTGGACTGCTTTACGATAGAGCAGCTGAGAAAGTGTCAATGTCAACCCGTGCCATCTCAGTGGATTTACACTGCTCAAGTTACGTTTGGAGCCCTGCCAGTAGACATTCTCGGTGAGGGAGCCTAGGATTGCCTCAACCACCTCGTCAGCCATTTCGGTGTCAAGTTTGAGTGTAATTATGCTGAGCGCTTTGCTTGCCCCGTATCGAACAGGAGTATCTCCATCTGCAAGTGCCTCAAGCAAGAACTCGATGACTTCCTCCAGAACCGTTGTTGGATCAAGCCCAGGTACGACGGAAGTTGTCTGCAGACAATGCAGGACAATATTGCGCAGACTTTTCACTACTAGCTTACGAGCCACAGCCGACGATTTGATGAAAGCAAGGCTCTCTTGGTCCAGTACTTTTCGGCAAGATTGGTAAGTTGCAGCGAGAAAAGGGCCAAGTTCTTCGTTTGTTGCAGATGCGAGGAGTCCAGATATGAACGACAATACACCGAGGCACTGGTGTATGTCAAATTGCTCCTCGTTCACTTCAGAGAAGAAGGAAAGCGACCACGAAACCATGGCGTCCAGTAAACCCATTTTCTGCATATCTGGACGTACACAAATTCGAACCAACAGTTTTGCAGCAGCGCTTTTCTCTTTGGTCGGGGCTCGGAGTTGCGACATGCATATGGAGAGCACACGGAGGGTTATCCCCGGTAATTTGGCAGGCAACTTCAGCCCAGGCGCAATTGAAGCTTCTGCAGAATCCTGTAGCCCAGACATGGACTCCAAAGGAAAAGGGGCCAGTAATAACTGCGAAAGCCACAGGAGCAATACATAACGGCGAACCCATGGTCGGTCACTCTGGGATAGTGCTGCCTCGGGGCCTTCGTTAGTACTATCTTTGCTGTCTTCGAGCTCCCTCAAGATTGGTTCGAGGTAACGAGGCTCGTTGTTGAAGAATCCTTTGATGACTTTTTCACCGCGGACCTTGCAGAACACATTCAAAATACGGCATATGGCATGTGAGAGTGGCAGACAGCCATTTTTTGGATCCTCCTTGGTGCTTGTCGATATGGCTTCCAAGTAAGCATCAACCAGTGGCGGGATAAAAGTCTTGAGGTGAGTGTCCAGAAGTTGAGGGTCCTCTTGGAAGGGCTCAATCTAGGAATGGTCAGCCCGAGTACTGGTGGGCAATTTGTTGAAGCCATACCAGGCTGCATGCTTTGTGCATATCAGCCGTCCTAACATTGTGGCGGACAGTGCTTGAGGTAGAGCCTTGCTGGCATTTTTGCAACAGTCGTGGGAGAAGCTTCTCAAGGTCAGAGAGCAGCAGAGCGGATGCTCGCTGCAATTTTAGATCTTCGTCTTCAGCGGCGCTCATCTTCGGTCATGATAGAAACATGGTGGTTGACTTGTGTGCAATGACGGATGCCTTGGTGCTCGAGTCAGTTTTGTCGAGGTGGGAGAGCAAGACGCGTGAGCACGAGTCAGCCCCGCGACGCGCTTCCACTACTTTGTTCATCGTAGTTACCACGACTACGACAACGCCGACAATTTACACAATGGCCCAGGAACAGTACAAGGATTATCTGGCGGCAAGAATTCTTGCTGAGAACAAGCCTGTCACCTACAGGCTTCTCAGCCGAGCGCTCAAGACCAATGTCAACACGGCGAAACGGTTGGTACTGCGATTGCGAATGACGAATGCCAGCTCACCACAGACAGGATGCTCGCTGAGTTTCACAAGACGCAAAATGCACGCAAGCCGAAGTCTGTTCATGCCACCTATCTCCTCACTGGCACGCCTCGAAACAGCGAACAGAGCAATGGCTCCAAAATTCGAAAAGGCGAAGATACCGACATGCGCAGCTCTCCATTCATGAGTTCCATGCCCGACCAAGAGGAGGATGAAGACTCGGATTACGACAGCAGCCCTGATAATGAGAATACACCTTCACCAAGAGGTGTGAAAGAGACTCAAATCTTGCTAGTTCGGGAAGAGGAGTTGGAGGGTACGTTGTGTCAAAGGTGGCTATGGATACTCGCTGACTGTTATACCAGAGATTCTCGCGGGGCTAGAGGAGGGCGCGTCTATCCATATCTACAGCCTAGAACCCGGGCCACTCGAGGTATGCATGGTTTCAACTTGGAGTAGACTGTGCTAAACCCATTAGATATTCGGAGTGTTGTCTCTGTGTAATCACGAGGTCACGACAAAGTACGCAGACGTGAACCCTTTGGAGCGATGGAAGACGTATGGCTCAATTCGTAACGAGTACATCAAGGTATGGTATTTACTTTATGCAAGATAAAGACAGTCAAGCTAATGTCACGATAGAGAAGGACTGCGAAGTACGCCCCTCCCGCCGCAGCCACTTCCTCCAAAGCTTCCGCGAAGCCAGCATCCAAGCCCGCAGAGAAGCCTGCCAGCAAACCTGCTGTCACTTTGGGTACAAAGGATAAGGAAAGCACTGAAGAAAATGTATCGGGACGGTCAACTCCACAACCTTCTGCGGGCGCAAGTACACTCAAGCGATCCGACTCAAAGCCGGGAGCGAAGAAGGATAAGGCCTCGAGCGACATATTCAAATCCTTTGCCAAGGCCAAACCAAAGGCGAAGGAGTCTACACCTGCCCCTGTTGAAGACGGTAAGTTGGCTTTGTGCTGATGTCCATATTACATGACTAATATGCATAGAACCAATGCAAGGCATGTCCGAGGACGAAGGCGATCCAGATGATGAGCCCGAGGTCAAGATTGACGAAGAGAAGAACGAAGCAGCTCGCAAAGCTCGTGAGGAGCGAGCGGAACGATTACGCAAGATGATGGAAGACGATGGTGAGTCAGGCGTAGCAGATACTTATTTCACATCTAACTTTGTGCAGATGAAGACATGCCCGACGCACCGGCAGCAGCAGTAGAATCACAGACTGAAACTTCTCCGGCAGCCACCCCCGCAGCTGACGCCCCAGAACCAGCGGAGGGCGAAGCCACGTTCACGGTGACAAACGGCCGGAGACGCGGCCGAAGACGAGTGATGAAGAAGAAGAAGGTCAAGGACGAGGACGGCTATTTGGGTAAGTTGGACTTTGTGTGTGTGTGTGGGGGGGGGGGGGGGTTCCAGAGAAATTCAAGCTAACAATGTTTTACACAGTCACCAAAGAAGAAGCTGTCTGGGAATCCTTTTCTGAAGACGAGCCCGTACCCAAGAAAGCCAAGCCTGCACCATCGAAACCAGCAAGCAGCACCGGAAAAGGCAAGAATGCAGGTGCTAAGAAGGGTCAAGGTAGTATTGCTAGCTTTTTCAAGAAGGCTTGAGAATGATGATGGTGAACTTTACCATTATACTGCTAGTTTCTTGAACTTTTTTTTTTAAAATTTTTTTTGGCTAGTAGTATACTCATACCTTTCAATGCTATATAAATATATATATATATATATATCCCAACTAGAGATAAAAGTTCCAAGTTGATAAAATAATGTGTGCTTCCTGTCGTGTGTGCATGTTTCAAGACTCCTCCACCTAATTTACCAATAAACTTGCAACCCCCCCCCCAACCACACACACACACTCCTTCCTTTCCCCCAACTCCAGAATTAAAACAAGCAACCACATACTAACCCCCACATTTCCCCAACCCATCCTTCGCACTCGCACTCATACAAGGTACCGCATCCCCCCGTTTTATTTTCTTTTTTTTCGCTCAAAAAACGTCATCTATAGTGTACCTTTACGTACAGTAGGACACATCCAGCGGACTAAGCGGCGACATGTATGTCACGCGATATATCTATAAACCCCCCCCTTGCTAAATTTCTTGTGTGTGTGTGTGTGTGTGCCCAGCATGTGTACCAGTATATTTATTTATATATATGATGCATATACGGTATAGTATATATATTGATGTACTTGGCTTTATTATATACAGCTCGGACTTCGGAGATGCTGCGCGGCCCATGGTTGTGTGTGTGTATGTGTGCAAATGTGGCTGGGCAAAGGGGGGAAAGGGCGCGGGGTAAAAAAAAAAAAAAAGTGTCCGGGGGGGTAGATATGAGGACTAGATGCGGGAAAGTAGGTGCGGGAAGTAGACGCCGGAGGGGTAAAGTTTGTTTGTTTTGGGTCATTACATTGGGAATTGGGTATAATGCGCTGGGGGGGATTTCTTCATGGGAAATTTTGGCATTTGAGATGGTTTAGGGAGGTAGATAGTTTGGTTGCACTAGGGCGGTGTGTTCTGACCTCATTGACTTTGACTTGTGCCACGATGTGTGCGTAGGTAGGTTGCTGGACGTGGATGATGACGACATCACTTGGGGAAACATATCAATTGCTCAACCATCTGAGCTTTTAACATGGCATCGAGAATACTTGCGGCTCACCTGTCTACTTCTTCTTCTCGCGCGAGTAATTCAGCAAATATAGCTTCACGTACTGCTTCGCATCGCCTCTCGCGTGTTCTGCGCACCATGTCCAGCACCACGCCCTCAGCAGCAGCGCTACCCCAAGCACCATGGAAAGCGCTCTTCAGCGAACACATCTCTAAAATGAAGTCGCCCGAGTTCGTGCTCGGGACGCTCGACAAGGCGCCTGAAGACTCACCGACGCCATATGTGCCGCGCGTGCGATACTGCATTCACCGCGGCTTCTGGACTGAGCTGCCAGAGAACAAGCACAACGACGCAGAGCGGAACCCACCCGTGTACCAGAGCGACTGCCCAACATTCACGACGGACGTGCGCATGGAGAAGGTGGGGCAGATATTTACGTCGAGCGCGGGGCACGCGGAGAGCAGCGAGCAAGTGCAAGGAAGTGGAGGTGGAGGTCCTGTAGAAGCAGTGTATTGGAACGCTGATACTGGCTCGCAATGGCGGATCAAAGGACGCGCATACGTCATTGCCGATGATATTGAGGCGAGCGAGGAGAGCAGTGGCGTGAGGACTGTGAAGAGCGAATTGGGCAAGAGGATGAGAGTTGTGGATGAAGGCAAGCAGGGCGAGTTCAGCTGGCAAAGGGAACTCAGGGGGTTCTTTGGGAACCAGAGTCCCGGGATAAAAGGTAAGGGCACTTGACGATGTGACTACTGCTTGGGTGTTCTGACACTGCTATAGGCTCTTTCAAGAATCCGCCGCCAGGTCAACCCACGTCTAAAGCATATGATCAGAAGCTTGGGCTGGGGTCAAAGGTTGACGGGCTGGATGATGAGGTGGCACGCAAGAACTTTCGCGTTGTGGTTATTGTGCCGGATTCGGTGGAGCGGACGGATCTTAGCGACCCGGACAAGGCGCGGAGGTACAGGTACACGTTTGAGGAGAATGGTGGGTGGAGGACCGAGGAGCTGTGGCCGTAGAGGCGCGCAAGATTGTTGAGGCGCATTAGGTTTTGTTAGGACAAGAATAATATTCCAAATCGCTGCGACACGATACAAACGTGGTGATGTTTTCAAGCGGTGGATTAGGCGCGGCGATGATGTGCGTTGTTGTTGCGTGTGTTCTGCACGGGAGGATCTGTTGTGTAACCGCTTTGCCGCAGCCACCCACAGGCGGGGGAGCGGAGTTGGATGGCAATTTGGCAAAGAATACGAGGGTAGGTCCGATGCAGCCTTACCAGGACGCTGGTTCAGGTCGGCGACTTAATCAGAGGGGCCTCGCTTGACCCTGCTCGCGATGCCAAACGGGCAAATGAAGAAGCTGTTGAGCACGCATCGCGAAATGCATCGATGGCATCATTGTTTTTTCTGTGTAGTCATGAAAAGCATCGGGCGAGTTGACGACGAAGCGCACAGACAGATGATTAGTTAGCTGGGAGGGGCAACGGTTGGCGTTTGGGGGGCAACGGTTGGAGAGGGAGGCGGGTTCCGTGGGCTGCGGGCTAGGCGGGCCACTTTGGACAGGGGTATTAGAGTTTAGGCGTGCGACTAGACTGTGTCGAGCGTGCAACACGTGCATATCAATATAGCAAGTACTTGTCGTCGTATGCGTACAGACGTACGTATGGTCGGCCAGTTGGCAGAGTCCAAACGCATCAGTACGCATATAGAACTCGGTGCATGCACATGCCCATGGACCACAAGCGACCAGGGAGGGGGTACAGTTTCCGCATGTGGCAAGTCACGTGACATGTCGTCAACTACGGACTGTGCACGCGCAAATCACGATTAAACTCTGGCCTAGCCGACGCTTCGTGCAGCAAGGCATCTTCACAGTCTGGATGCTACTTGACCTCCTGAAGCCTACATAGCGCCGAAAGATGGCATGACAAGAGACAGTGCTGACACCCCCTTCGACGACTGGCCAACAGGCCGACACGATGGTTTGCAGGGCCATGTGCTCCCATGTCTCCCTTCACCGCTTCTGGCATGCATGTCGCTTCTCGCGTTCGGCATCGAGGGTAGGGCGACATTGCAATTGTTTTGTTTCGGGAGAGGCGCTGCGGCGTAGTCTAAAAGGCGCCGTGGCTGCGCTGATTGGGACCATTAGCCGCCACATTGCAGCAACACATGCGCCCGCCCCCCCCCCCCGGTCGCCTGCCGTCATGGGGAAACGGGGTGGGGAGAAAAAGGCTTCTTGTCAATCGGCCGCCTGCCTCATCGGCCCGCTCGTTTTTTTTTGCTTGTCGAGCCAGGCCAAACGTTGTGGTAGATGAAGCAACCGGCCTCTGCCATGTTCAGCGCCGTCTGCGAGCAGCTTGTGCGAGGCAATTGCTTCATGTAATGGCGCCGCATGCCTGCTTGCACCAAACCCGAATGCGAGTCTGCTGGCTCGATCTTCGCCAAGGGTATTGCGCGTTGCTGAACCGCTCCCGTGGGAACCCCAAGTGCATGCCCGCCTTGACAACGACGTGTATGTAATTCTGACGGCTCTTTCCACCCCCCTCCTCTCTCTTCCTCACCTTCTTCATGCAATGCACCACCCCCCGGGGGTACACAAGTCACCGCCTGGCCCCGTTGATCACGTCTTGTATCGGACCTAGTCCCTACCCACCAGCCGCCTCTCCCCCCCATAACTAGTAACTGCTGATCCTATGGCCCGCCTGGTTCGCTGCTCGCACTAATTCTCCGCACCCGCTGTGCACACACACACACACCCTCACACACTCAAGTACCCCGACGCTGTCCCCTCTCCATCTCGACCACACAACCACACGACCACGCGACCTTCTTCCTTTTTCCTTTGCTGCTGTCAGGCCTCTCTGTTCACGCCATCCGTATCGCTGGCCCTGCTGCATGCGACAACCCGCGCTCGTCTGCGTCGTATCGCTTACTTCCGCAATTCGGTTCGCTAGACGCCCAAGTAGCCACCACCATGTCTGACATCGACAAGTCGTTTGTCTTTCTCCAGGACAACATCCCACAATGGCTGCACCAAATCACGACCGCCGATGACAGGGTCACGGCAATGCAACACGAAATCACAAAAGTATCCATATCACAGTCGCCGTTCGCAAAGCACAAATCAGATTCGACCGCTTCCATACGCCCAGGCAAACTAGACGCCATTGCAGAAGACGCCGCGCCCGCCGACCCTATTGTGAGCCGGAAACGCAAGTCTCTCTCAGTTACCTCGGACCAGGAACCCGACTCCGCACGACATCGCTCTCGGGTCATGGTTGTTACGAGCTATGATGGGGACATGCAAAGGTCTTTTGAATTACTGGTTCGCGCTTTCGGAACAGGGCGCAACCTGCTACGAAAGGCCAAGATGGAAGCCAGGATGAATGACATGGCCACCATGGCATCCTCTAGCGAGGAGGAGGATGATGATGACGATGATGACGAAGATGAAATCAGTCCAGCCAAAGTAAACTACAAAGCACGCATGTCGGCACTGCGAGCACGATCGGCAGCAAGACGAAGTGGCCGGTTAGGTGTCAGTAGCGGTGTAGAGACACCAGCAGAATTATTCGACTCCACAGATAAGATACTCGAACAAGCACAAGAATTATGCGAAAAGGCAGCGCATCTCACCCTGCGCGACGGCGACTGCAGAAAAGAACTAGCGACAATACGGAAAAGCTTTGAGACCCTTTTAGAGACTGCCAAGACCGAAGTCGACAAATGCAACGCGCGCAAGTCGCAAGACCCACCAGAGTTGCAAGCACATGAAACCTCGGATACCTCCATGTCGTCGCTCGAGCCCGAGCCCGTCTATCGGAAAGACGTACACTCGCTGCCCGTAGCCCACGAACATTCCAAGTCCGCCGCCGGCTCAAGAGATGCCGTCGTCGCGAAACCATTAAACTCCCTCAACATCGAGGTTGATGAAAATGATGATTCAGATGAGGAGTTCGTTTTACCTCCCATCCGACTCACATCCCGCTTTAACCGATGATGACAAACAAGACTTCTTCTCTTCCTCTCTTCCTCTCTCTCTCTTTCTCTCTCTCTTATACACAAACAGTCGTTATCTCTCCAATGCGTTCAAGCGAGTTCTACGTTCTCATTCATGTCTTTTTCATCTCCCATCTGGCGTTTTCTCTACGGAGGGCTATATTGTCACTCAATGAGGGGGTGGGTTGGGAAATTCTCTCAAAACAAGCAGTCAAACTTTTTTTTCCTCTTTTGCATATCATGTTTGGAAATGAAAATTAGGCAAGGCGGGGGCAAGGGGCTGTTGGGATTGGGGTTGGGGGCGGGGTGCGGTAAGGCATATATTATATCCAAGGCGTTTTGAAGAGCTACACGTAACCAAAGCGGTTTTAGTAGCTGAAATTATCTGGCATTTCGGTTTCACCGCAAAAGAGTGCATGGATGTATTGTTGTTGTTCAGGTGGATTCTTGGGTATTCATTTCAACAAATGGGGTTTATTACTAAGGTGGGGGAGGGGGGAAAGGGTTATAACACCCCCTTTTTTTTACCCCAAAAAAACGTCGTTAGATGCGGCGTTTTTATTTCGCTCGCTAGGTCGCTTGTAGCGTTCTCATATCTTGTGTCGGCTGATCTGGCAATGAGGTGCTCATATTTTGTAGTCTTCTTTTTAATTTATGAAGTTTAGTTTTTTTTTTCGCCTGTACCTCTACCCTTTTATGACTTGAGTTTTCTTTTCTTTTTTTTCTCCATCTATCCATGTGTTTTGCCGTATAGCACGTATCAGATTGCCATTATCTTTAGAAAAGGGATTCTGTATCTTTTTGTGTATTTTAGATGTTATTGTATGCTGACGTTTATCTAAGGGTTTTCTCTCTCTCTCTCTCTCTCTCTCTAGTCTGGGTGTAGGTAGGTTCTCTCGTTCGTTACTAGACGCTGCACTTTATGTACGCATTTTGAAAGGGTCTTGATAAATGGACACTTTGTCGAGTTTTGAGGCACTGCTGCAAATGCATCATGGATGAGGCCTTGATTACATGTCAGCTCTTTGGTTACGGTCGGGCCTTGCTTGGGTTGATGGACAACGTGGATGTGGTTGAGGAAGGAGTGCTGGAGTAGTGGAAGTACTATCTGGTCACTCTTGTCAAATAAACACATCTTCGAGTCTGAAGTGATGCCATAAATGCGGTTTTGATGTGAGGTTGACTAGTTGTCAGCTCCATGTTCAAGAGTTGACCTTTTTTCCGGGTTATACAAGGTGCATCATTATACTTTGACTGCAAAGTCATATTTTTTGATACCCGATTGCGGCAGGTTGAGGTGTGGCCTGCCATTCTTTTCTGAGATAATTGATCTGATATGCTATATAGCAAGCAGATAGAAAAAAGTCAAGTAATACAAGGTGCATACGGTTGGGGGAAGGAGCGCTCGAGTAGCGAAAGCAGTGTGTCTGTTGGCTCCTTCCTGCCAAAGACTCAACCTTGGCCCACATATCTCTCACCTCACTGCACGCTCGCAGCCTTGTCCCTCTCGTTGTTGAGGTGGCATCGTTTACTTTACCTCGACACATCTCGTCCATGTGAGATAAGGACGCGGTCAGCGATTATCAATATGGCTCGTTCAATTGACTTTTCAGACTTCATTGAAGTCCATGACGACGAAGCGATAACTCGTCCTGAACATGAAGGCAGCGAGGAAATCTCGGAATCCATTGAGAACCTAGTAAGTCCATCTCAGGCTGACTGGTACTACAACTGACATGAACAGCAATACGCGCCATCTTCTGACCTCAGTTCTGAAATCACTGCGCCTGGACTCGACCAAGTCAACAGCGCCGGCGTTGAAGTGTCACACCCTCCACCTCCAACTTCTTCCGCTCCCACTTCTTCCTACAGCTTTCGCAGTAGAAACAAGAGCAAGCTTGTCTACGATGCAAAGTATCATCCTATGGACGACGCCATTCGGCCAACACAAGCGGCGAGGCGTCGCTCAGCTCATGGAGAGAATCAATTCTGTCTCGATGCAGATGACGAAAGTGAGGATTATGCTGCTGTCTATACTAATGCAGAGGAGTTGGATGATGAAGAAAGTGAAGCTGAGGAAGAACCAAGGCAAGGCGCAAAGAACAAGAAGCGCAAGCTCACTCAGTCCCGATTGATGTCAGTTGAACCGACTCGTCGCTCTCCTCGCAAAGTGTCGGATCAGAGAGTTTCGTACAACATGAATGTGCATCCTCAGGATGAGTTTCTGGAGGTGAGCAGTGAGGAGGAAGAGGTTGTGGTCAAGAAGAAGTCAAAGAGATCTAAGCGTCTACATGTTGATGATATGTACTCTGATGATGGAGTTGTGGTGTCCAAATCAGCACAACGAAGATACTCTGATTATGTCGACAATACCACTTCTGATGAAATGGAGTTTGATGGCGGAGATGCTGTTGCAAGGACAGAGGTGGACTCTGATGATGGACGTGTGGTATCCAAAACAAAACATCAAAAATATGCCGATCATGTCGACAATTCTACATGTGATGAACTAGAGTTCGAAAGCGGAGGTACCATTCCAAGGACAGAGATGGACACTGATTGTATGCAAACACCTTCCTCTTCTCTTCGAGCTTCCCAAAACTGTAAGCTAACTATATACCAGTTATCACGATTGCTGGAAACTCAATTACATCTCCAGTAGTAGCCGACCCGCAAAATGGTATCAAGCGGAAAGACAGTATTGACTCACTGCACTTGTCCCCCGGGAGAAGATGCTTCCGTCACGACAAAGATGCCTGGCCTGTTTCATCAGGTCAACCTTTCACTATCTTCAACGAGAAGCTCGCATACCAGCTGGCACGCGAGGCACATACTGCTTCGCCACTCAACTATGAACATGACGACAAGGAGAATGTGACCGACAACGACAACATAGATGTGAACCCACTTTCTTCATCAACTGCAGGTGTCTCCATTATTCCCGAAGCACAGTATATGCCGACGAGTGAAGATTGTGAGTTGTCAAACCACCGCGCTCTGATCAATTACGCTCTCTATGATGATCCTCATCCCCAGACGTACGGTCTTGATGGGACTCACTGCAGCGGTACAGGGGAGGGGGATGTATTTTCTGAAAGCATGAATATACTTGCATCTGGTAGAGGTTTGCCTCTTGGAAAGAGCGCAGAGTGAATCAGAAATATACTTCAGACTCAGCATCGGGGAGGAAGAGGAGGAGGAGAAGAAGAAGGAACAAAGAACAATAACCGACTCTTGTCACAACGATGGTGGACTCTTCAATACCTACAAGTCCTCAGACACAACTTCCCCTGCTATATCGCCCCATCTGTCATGTCAGGTACCTATACCGTCACCATGTCCTGCTATTTCCCAGCAATGTACTTGTCGATCCATGTAGTCCTTAGGCAATAATATCACATTGCTGAATACTAACCTGCCGAGTCAAGACCACAACATCACATTCACGTACTTGATGTTTCAAACTCTCATCACATTCACACTTACCATCCCCACTATCATATGTAGTGTACCCTTCAGTTTCTATACCCCGATGACTAGGCCATCCATGAACCCACAAAACCCATGAATCATTTGTATCAAAAACCTCGGCAAACCTACCCCTCCTTCCCGCGTATACTTTCCCTTCTCCATCCCCTATCACCCCTACCTATACCACCAACCCCCCTTCCCATACATATACATAGATATACTTATATGATGATCCCCTCATCAAACCCTACTTACTCAGTTCCCACCTTATACCCGGGGGAGGTGGGGAGGTTTAAGTTTCGCTAGTAAGTAAATAGTAGTTATACCTACATAGCTGTAACATCACCAACCCCTACCCTACTACCATCACTTGCCTTATCCACCCCCCCCCCAGAAAAAACGTGTCTCGTTTTATATACACTTTAACCCCACTGCGCGCCCCGCCCACCCGCCCGCCCGCACGCACGCGCGCACACGCGCACACGCA